AGAGAGAGAGAGAGAGAGAGAGAGAGAGAGAGAGAGAGAGAGAGAGAGAGAGAGAAATGGAAGGAAAGAGGTAGAGGATTAACAACGAGCTCCAGAAGCATCTTGAGATTTTTTCTGACTATATATAGTGTAAGAAATCATAGCAAAAGCTATTATTCTCAGTGCTCTCTAATGTTTTAGCCTCTATATTCCTCTTGCCTTTGGTCTGCTGATTGGAGAGAAGGTTTCTCGTTGGCCACCTGCCATCCCCTATATCCCGCAAGCTCCAGAAACTGTTCTGAGTGAGATCATTCTGGAGAGTAAAAGTTGGCTTTGAATTCCAATGGGTTGCAGTGACATAGGGCTTCTAACATGTAGCATTACATTTGCTGTTTGTAGATTGCTGAAACTGTGAGGTTCTATCCAGTAATATTTAAATTAAGTATTACAAAACATTACTAAACCCCAGTGATTTTATCTTCTAAAGAGAGCCAATCTGGACAGGTTCTATCCCTAGAACTTACAATCCCCTTATCTTACAAGAGAAGGTCAGCAAAGATGTGGAAAGCATTTGTGCTGTTTCTTTGCAATCACAGTTAATCGAATACCAAATGCTGTGCTTTCAAATCAATGCTTTAAAAATTTATCTGTGCCACTATATTTCCATTGTCATTTTTAATCACAAAGCTTTGTACATTTGTTTATTGAAATGCTCTAGATCCTGCTTTTATTTTTGAGAAACAAGATAATTTGATGAAGTATAATCCAAAGAATATTGCCCTCCAACGTGGAACAAGTCTGTTAAAGGATAGATCTAATAATGCAGTGACATATAAAAGAATGTTGCAAGATGTAATGAAGATATTACCCTTCAAATATTGCTAAACTACAACTCTCAGTGGCCAGGTAGCTGCAGGCTATGCTGAAGGATAGTGACAGCTCAGTAACATCTGGAGGTGCATAATTTTCTTCCCCTCCTCCCTGTTCAACAATATTATCTGGAAAGTGGATATTTCAATCATCACATTTGGATTAACATTTTTGTTTTGTTTCATGTCAAATCCAATTGCAAAGCTCATCAGTCATGGCATCTACAAAGTCTAACATGTTTAGATTGCGCTTATTACAATCAGCAAATGCTTCCATTCAGGTTGAGTAGGCTGTGAAAAGCTGTTCTATTTCATACATGTCCCACTAAGAGGCAAATTATATGATATGCTAAGTATGTACTGGCAATTCTTCCTTTTTTTAAAAAAAGTTGAACAATGCATGTAATGGGCAGTTCTGAACTGACATCACCATACAATGAAAAACTTAAGCATTTAATCTTAGGTGCTGTGCCTCATGAAAGCCAACCCAAAAATATATGTACAGGGATGGGCAAATAGTCTGAGTCTGGACTGAACACACTTTGCTTACTATAATATAAAAAGAGAAGCACAACTGCACACTCTATGTTCAATGTATTCTGAATTAAGCTGCTCATTCTATGGACCTGGCCTCATCCCTTTCCCCTCCTCCAGGGAAAACAGCATTACTTTCAGTGTGGTCTTTGTCTCCACCTCTACCCTCAGAAAGAATGGACAGGGCAAGGAAGAGGAACAAGGAAGCAGATGACCAGGTTCTTATAGCAGCAGCAATGTTCTGGATAATGGCCTGCCGCATCCCCTTTCTTCACCAAGCAGTTTCTATCATTTGAACGTAATGGGGGTTGGAGGAAGAGGACCATAGAAAAAAGAAGAAGCAGGCAAGGTCCTCAATTCTATCGACACACAGCCAGCTCATTAACCTTCTCTTTTCCAATGGGGCTTGCAAAACCAGATGGGAGAGAAAATTAGATTGCAGTGAGGATGGTTTTTTTCACTTGTTCTTAGGCAATAGAAATAACCTGGGATGCAGTTTTGCTAAAAAAAAAAAAAGGTAGCCATGCTAAGCTATTAAACTGGAAGTAACAAAATCAATGTCAGCAAATGTTATATTAATTATTCATAAAATGGCCCCTCCTCACAGCAGCTCTGATGTACAAAAAAACAGAGCTGAAAAAGAAATACTCTTTCTTAAGTATGTCTATAGTTTGTTACAAAAATGATTCTATGCTGTTAAATTACATAGGATGTACATCTGAATCGTGATTATTCCACATTAAATTCTACTTTGATTCTAATTTACTTTTAATTCCAATAGTTATTATCTACTTAGATAAGGAGGAGTTGCACATGAGTTGTCTTGTATCTTTTTATAACTTCCTTTTAATTCTAAGGAGATATAGTGGCACAAGGATTTAGGATCTTATCCCAATAAACAGCACGTAGAGATTCTGAAAGCCAACGTACAACATAAATGCAGTTCCTAGCCCTTTCAATGAATTAATGTTGTTACTTTAAACCAGGGATGGACAATATTTCATGGGTTTAGGCCTTCAAGGCTGATTCCTGGCCTTGGAAGGGCTATAAGAAACCATCTGGTGATGCTGTGTTGATACTGGAAAATGACATGGATGAAATTTTTCAGGGGGTGGGTGGAATTTGTGTTGCCCTTTTACAGGTATTTTAAGGATATTTTAAAGTATCCAAATTTCCTCCAAAAAGGGCAAGGTTGAGTTGGGATAGGGATAGGGAGGCCTCCCAGAGACAAAACACCCCCATTCCTACCTGAAAATCACTGAAAATTCTAAAGAAGGGTCCAATTTGTGCTGTCAAAGGGTGCTCCTTTCACCCCAGTTGTTATCAGTGTATTGGGTGCCTGCCTGCACACCATGAACCACCAATTGTCTATTTGTGCTCTTAACTGTTATAAGATATGCAAATGTCTATGGCAAACAACAACAACAACAAAAATGCTAGCAGAAATCAAAACAAATTAAATAGAAAAGGAATTCATACCTCACAGAACATAGGCAACTTTTTGGCAAAATCCACCACTCTTGTGATTGCTGGTGTGATAATTTTTGTAAACTGGCTGAAAGCTTCTAAATCTACTTTCCCACCTTCTGGGGCATTTACTATTGGTGCTTGTCCAATATCCTCTGGCTGATAATAGAAAACAAAAACATTGTAAGAATGTAATTTATTTATCATAAATATGGACTCTTCTTAAAACTTTGTGCAATGTTGGCAACTTAATCTTGCTTAAGCCTTGGCTACACAATCAAGTATTGAAATTATTTTTTAAAGAATGCATTGAAAAGAAGCTATTGTGTAAGATAAATGTACATCCATGTACATATGTTCTGACATACCGGTGCTCATTTGTGTAGTAATCTGTGTATGTTACAAGGGTAACTACTTTTTGCTAATTTAAATAATCTAGTGGAAGCAGTGTAGCAGCTTGTATCTGAAAGCCTAAATCTAATGCTGTACCCATGGCCCATCTAGGAATATTCTTCCCTTGAAACCTAAAAGACAGCCCATAGTAACTCCTACAAAAACTGCATTTCTTACGTTTATGAAGTATGTAAATGTGTGTGAATGTATGTATGTATTTGTATAGTTACTATGGGTTTATGTATTGCTATTCTTTTTGTTTTTTGATTAGAGGGACTCATAATCTTCACTGAAAGTTCTTAGCAACCAAAGGGTATTTCTTTAGCTGTGATAGCCTGACAGATAAGAAAAACAGGTAGGAAAGGAACCAGCAAGGATGATATTTTTTCAACTTTTTGTCACCTGCTTTTCAAGGTGGAATTATGTTTGGGGATTTGGGTCAAAGAGACTAAAGTTATATTAGCTTCACTTTCCTGTCACTTAATTGACAGATGCATGATTTGTTCAATCCATACATTGATATTTAAATTAAGGTGCAAACCTGAAAGACCAGGCTGGGGACAGATCATAATGGAAAAAATCTATCTGTGTGGTTGCTAAGAGCCGACGCTGGCTTGATGGCACATAATTAATCAATTAGTCAGTCAGTCAATCAATCAATCTTTCTCTTGAAAAAGAAAATTGGCTTGCAATGCTGTGACCATGTCTAAGTTAAAATTAGAAGAGGAACAAGAAAAGTTAACAAGGTCTGTTGATAATAGATAAATCAATCCTAATCTCTTCAGATGTCTGCCCAAAAGACATCTGCCCCAAAGCACAAAGGCACAGCAGTCTCACCAGTGTGCTGCTGCAAGAGAGAAAGGATATCTACTCTAGAATTGTTAGTGATATTAGCTGAACAATCTGTAGTATAAATCTAGTGTTGGTACTGTTCCAACTTATTGATAGCTAGTGTTATGTCTTTGAACAGGATGTTCCGGTTGCAGGAAATGCACTGGATCCAGTTTCCTGTTCCCATATAGGATCTCAGGATTGATCAGAGATGCAGCACTTCACTTTCTCCCATCCTTTAGGATCCTTATGGGATTTCAAATATTTACCTACAAACAATATTGTTGCTCAGTTAAGGATTTATTTACTAGTATAGCTCAGTTCAAAGATAATTCCTGCACCTGGATAGCCTCAGATGTGCTTTTGCTTAAAATCCATGTGCTCAGAGTCCAAATTCAAATATTTGTCATCTAGTTTAACTTAATAAAGAGGTTGATACAGAACATGTGAGAAGTAGGTTTGATCAGAAGAAAAGAAAAACAGTGTACACTGTTGATAAGACAGAGTTATCTCACCCAGAATTTTCTTTATAGTAATAGTCAGCTAGATGTCTCAGAGCCTACTTTTTAATTTTCTTTTATGTCAGGGCAAATTCTGCATTCTGCATAGACATGTATACTTCCCTTATATTTCAGCCCATGGAAAAATTCCCATAAATGTTTCTGATGTTAACATTTAGTATCTGGATTATGAGTTAAAATTGGAATATGGATTATGGCCACTGAGATTATGTCACCTAACAATTTCTGACAACGATTTATCCAGGTTTTTTCTGATCTTGCTATTGACAGCTATTTGTACTGTTATTAAGTTATTTTATGTATTTGTTTACTTTTGTGATAGATATCACTCCGTGTTGTATGATTTTACAATTAAATGAAAATAAGAAGCCCTTATAAATTACTTAAACAAATAGTCTAAATTGGCTCCTCCAACTGAATGCTCTGGTTATTCCATGCACTACCATTTTTTTCCTACTTTCTTCTCATACCATTGTTGGAATTATTTATTCCTTATTAATATGGGTTGATGGGTCAACCATTAGGAGGCAGCAAAGAGATTTTTGTGTGTGTGTTTTAGCAGTCACCTAAGTGTTGAAGAGCTGGAGCTTGAGCAAAGGTTTTGCCCTGGGGATCAGTTTAGGAACTGTAAGAACAGTATGTGAAGAGACAAAGTGAAGAACCAAGGCTTCCCTGGGAACAGCAGCCACTGGAAAGAGAATGCCCCACTTCACAGGCATTCAACAGCCAAATATTTTCAATTACACGTTCAATTACATTAATTAAGGATGGGATAACAGTTTCAGGGGCTTCCCATTCTCTGTGTTGACTGCATGACTAACCCAGTTACAAAAGGGAAAAAAGAGTGGCAGTGAAGGCTGGAGTTCTGGTCTCCCTCACAACCAAAGCAGCCCGGGATGAGACAGAATGTGATAGTGCCACAGCAGACCTGCTGGACCAACTGAAGCCAAGAAAATTGCTGCCTTCAGCTGTGTCATATCAAGCCTTCTCCATCATGCATCTTGATTGCCTAAATCACTGTTTCTCAGTCTTAGCAACAATAAGACGTGGACTTCAACTCCAAGAATTCCACAGCCAGCACAGTGGGCTGCCTCCACTGTGTAAGTACAGATGTTGGTGTAAGTACATGTCCTCTGTAAACAATTAATGGGATGTCTTCACTCAGGGCAAGGAGGCTGTGTGGATGGGGCCAGGGTCTGACTCCAGGGAAGTAGAGCACACCAATATCTTAGTAATTAGTTCTAGAATCAATATGCTCTCACCACTAGGAAATCTTCCCTAAGATTCAACTGGAATCTGCCTTTCCATCATTTAAGATAATTAAGGTCCTACTCCCTGGGGCAAAACAGCCTGCTCCTCTTGGCCTTCTTCTATGTAGTTAATGTAGGAAAATATTGTGATACCTCATAATTCAAACATTTAGACTTCATTTTTCACTTTACAAAAATTACTTAAACAGTGAAAAGGACCACTGTATGTTGCTTTAGTTTTGCCCATTTAGTTTAGAAGGCGCACAACCTCAGACTCTTGAGGCCCTCTAAAAGTACTACTGAATTATAGTTTTTACTGTGATAGGAGGAAAAATATTAAATAAATGGGGAATATTCATATATGATCATAAATTTTAATTAATGTGATTTAATTTCTATGTAAATTAAATAAAAATGAATTTTTACCTTGCTTCTATCCATTTGTTTATTTTGACCCAGCTCATTTTTGGCTGTAGCCCTCAGACTGAAAAAAGTTCTGCCCTGTTGGTTTAAAATTTACCCCTAACACCTTGTACAGGAAACTATGGAATACTTGAAAGCTCTAGTAATATGACATGTTTCATTTTTTAAATGGACTAAAGATTCTTATATCATTCTACCATTAACCAAAACTAAACGTTTATCCTCTAGGAGGAGCTCTTATAACTTGAAAATATCCATAATTAAGTAAGAAAATATAAAATGGGCAAGGATCATAATTTCTATATTTGGACTCTGTTATACTAAAATAGTGGAATATTAAAACTTGCAGTAACAATATGACAAATAACAGTCCATATGCTAGGATAGTCCCAATGACGTCAGCAGTTTCCATGGAGATTTATCAGAGGATTACTATTAAGGATTGTTGTTTATTTACTGCAGTAATCATGTGAAGCATAACCATGAGTTCATAAGCTACTGTGTTCTATTTCTAAAAATTATTACCACACAATACAAACAACAATCTTTTCTCCATATAAGAAACTATGCTGCATTTTTTAATATACAACTCAAGATCATAAAACATGGGACATCCACTAGTACAGATGGCATTAAAACACAATTAAATTAACAGAGGGCAAGTCTATCAGGGAATATTAATCATGACGGCAACATGCAGTCCCCTGGTTCAGACATAGTGTGCAGTGGACTCCCACCTACGCAAACCTTCAGCAGCCAAGGGTGGCATTTATACCTGGGAGGGGCTCAAGGGTGGCAGTGGGTGGGGTGGTGATGCAAATGGGTGGGTTAGGAATTTGTTTCCCTGGGTTTGGAGGAGGGATTTTGAGTTCTTTGTTTATTTCTAGCTATATTAACCATATAATATAGTTTCCATGGGTTTTTTTATATCAAAGTGGCAGAAAACCATCCCATGAATGTCCAACAAGTACAGTTACTGCAGCTGCAGGATTTCTACCCTGGTCACAGGGCTCTTCTGGGCAGGCAAAGGCTGTTCTAAACTGTGGTGGCACCTACCAAAAATTTCCTTTTCTGTTTCCAGTGGCTTCCTTGTGCATTCGTGGCCACGTGTGCTTCTGTAACAATTTTAATAAGCTCCCATTCTTCATCTGTTGGTTCAGGTTTCACTCCAATCGTTTTCTGTAATTCTTCTCGACGTCTTTTCTCCCGATTTTCCTCAATCAGTTTTCTTTTTGCTAGTCGCTTGCTGTCATCCAACACCACTAACAAGGAAAGATCATATTACAGAAAAAGAGAATAGAAACGCTTCTTATATGGAACTCACGATCTCTTTTGGTGATTAAAGTAATACCCTATCTTGGTAGTGAACAAATAACACAATGACTAGTCAGTGGAAAATCTGGAGCTTTTATATCTAGTCAAGCACATCCTCCAAAATTAAGTCAATTCCAAAACATGGAAGTTCATGGGAAAAAAATTACAAAACTATGATTTCAGCGCCATTACTTCTGGCCTATTCTATGCTGTAGTAAGTTGAGCACTTTAAAATATCCTTGTCAGATCTCTCTCTAGGGATATAAATATCTTCAAGATTAAAAGATGTGGCAAAGAATCTTAGAATAAAATATTCCAATTCTGTGTACATTCCAAAACAAGAAAGAGTGCAAAAATAGTGGGATAATCACATGATCTTCCATATCCAATGAAAATATTTATGAGGGAATCATGGAGCTATGCCACTACAGCCATCACCCCACTGACTATGGGAGTCATGTGAAAGAGCCTTACATGAATCAATATGTATATATGAAGGGTTCAAGCACATGAAAAGAGAATCCTGACTGACCACGAAGTGACTGCCATGTGGAGAAACCTCAAATACAGAGATTCCCTTCACAAAGCCACTGAATGTATGGCAAGGGATGTCCTGGAGACTGGAGAAAAGATGGAAAGTCATTGCCCTCACAACAGTCTTTTTGCTATGCCTTGAAAATGAGGATATGAGCAATGATTTCTGCTGGTGCTGGTGCTGCTGTTGTTGGGAGAGCAAGGAGCAGACTCTTCCCTTTCCCTGTCACTTGCCTTTCTCCCCCTGCTCCCAACACAGATCCCTTGGTACTTCCCACCATGGTGATCTCTGCCCTTACTTTTGTGCTTGCTGGGGAAAACTGCTAACGCTCCTGATGACAAATGCAGCAATGCCAGGGCAGTGGGGCTCCCCACAATCATTGAGGTTAGGATGGGGAGATTACTGATAGTAATATTGACCTCATGGAATACAACTTTCACAAGGTCCTAGAATTTGTACCAAAGCCAAGAAAGAAAAAAACTGGCTGCTAAACAACACTTTGTTCTTTCCAGCAGCCAAAAGAGAAATGGCCACAGACATGAAGAGGCTTAGGGCCAGCTGGGGTGGGTGATCCTGCAGCAGGCCAGTTGGAGCCCTGTAGGTTGCCAATTTCCTTCAGGGTCCTCCTCCACATGAATCAGAATGTTTATATGGAGAAGGGCTTGTAATATTTCCTACTGAAAACACTAGTTTCCTGCCAGATCTTAATTTGGTTTCAGCCTGCCTCAGTGACAGGTTGTCCCCAAGATGGAGGTTCTGGTGTGAGAACATATCCTCAATGGCTAGCAGGCTGGTCATTGTAGAGATAGGGCAAGGGGGCTGTGTGGATGATCCCATGTCCAACACAGGCATCATCAGGAGTAGAGGTAGTCAGAAAACCCAGTTATATTATGTGAAACAGTAGAGAGAAGAGGTGATCTATGATCAAGTTATACACCTAAGGAAGTAAGTCTAACCCTATTTGTCACTAAATAATAAAGCATTTTACCACCCGTTTTTTAAAATCCAAAATCTAGAGAAAAAAATGCTGCATGGAAATATGCTGCCGAAAATGATTATGTCCAATCATTCCTATTCAATGGTACAGAACGCACTTTGCATGCAAATTATCACAGGTTAAATATTTAGGCTTTCTAATTAAAAGGATGAAGGAGAGATATAAGAAAGACCTCACTTTCATACCAGAAGAGACACTGCCAGTCAGAATAGACATAGTGCATAAGCTCCTAGGTAGAATCCTGTTGGATCAGAGCAAAGGACTGCCAAAAATAGCTTTCAGCTTCTACTAGATGCTTAGAGGGACCCAGGCACAGTTCTTGAGCACACTGCTACTGTCCCATTCTTATATTACTCAACAAGTGATATTTAGAAATATACTACCTGTGATACTAAGATAATATACAGACATCATGATAGGTAACTTGATTATTCATGAGCTAAATCGTTTTGAAAAACATTTTTTATGTTCTAAAAAAAATTAAACACCTCTTTACATGTAGATGAGTATAGAAAAAATTATTGGATTATTTCCTAATATTTTTAATAGGATTTTAAACTGCCTATATTCTCATAAACCATTACGACTAATATGTTGAGGTGAACATTTTTAATTTCAATTACTCCAATTCACAGCAATCAAGATACTACTGCAAATTTCCTGAGAAACTTTGGGAATACAACCTTACAAAGAGTTAATTTTGCAGCCATATGCTCTAGTTTCTTAGAAGTGAAACAGTGCTCCTTTTCTTTCTGGCTAAAAATAAAACAAACAACCGCAGGATGACTCATGCAACAACACCATCCAACTTCCCGTTTTTCCAAATCTTTAAGCATGATTTTTCCCCCCTCTGCAAGACATTGCTCAAAAATGTTCCCACTCCTGTGATAGAAATGGTTCATCTCCTTAATATTGCACAAAATAATTCTGGCCAGAAGAAAGCCTAATCTTTTTCAAGAGTAAACAGAAAATTAAAGCCCTGCAGAAAATTAATGGAACACATCAATCAATATTCTCAACCAGTGTATAAAAATATAAATTAAAAATTGGGAGAAAAATCCTGATAATTACATTTACTGAAATAAACATATCTAATGAAAACAAACAGGACATTTAAAAAAAAGAAGCTTACAATCTGTTGCCATGCCAACATAGATGCATTTCTTGAAGCGACATTCCTGGCACTGGTTTCTTGTGACTTTGTCTATCACACATTTTCCTTCGTATTTACAGGAATAAGTTGGATGAAGGTTTTTTTGAATTGTTCTTCGGAAAAAACCCTACGTGAATAAGAAATTGCAAAATAACACCAAATTATTCACTTTTCTGAATACAGAATGTAGGACATTATACTTAGATATTTATTTATAAACCATTAAGAATATGCAATATGATTCTAGAGTTGCAGCTTCTTTGGTTTAATTATCAGCCTGGAATCTGAAGCTTAACTACGATATTAAGCCTACCCATAAATTCTGGGCATCAGTTTTACATTTTATTTATTTTTTCAAAGATTATTTTAGAAGCAACGCTTGGTAAACAAGTATATGCATCATATTGAACAGCATTGATTTCAACTATTTACTTGGAGAAATTGTACGGATATTGCACTCAACTCTTGTTCAGTTGCTATCAATGATAGGGGCTTATTTAAAGAAGATAAGATTAAAAGGTCTGACATATTTTCCCAGTTCATGGAGTATTCTCTTAAAGAAGGTGGAGATTAGTAATTCTTGTATATTGCTGACATCCCATCCCTCCAAGAATCCTGTGACATCTGCAAATAATGACACCAGGAATTTTGTAACTAAAAGAGCACAGATAGATATTACCTTCTGATAAACTGTAATGTTACTCATGGATGATATTTGAATGCACATTAGACAGGTGCTAAGTTAGATTTTATATCATTAAAGTTTAGGTGGACTCAGTTCATAGATATTTTGACCAAACACATCTTAAGAACATTTTTTAGGCCATAATCTACTGAACCTCTTTATCTGAAATAGGTATAAGAATGGCTTAGACATGATTCCTGTTTATGACTCTAATGTTCATGACATTCCTTTTAATTCTAACCTAACTTGTATAAAACAGCATCTGAAATTCATCTCCTGTGTTGACTTATGAAGAAACTAGAAGCTGAAACTACCTATGAAGAATGCAGGGATCTTCCTTACTATTCACCTCTAGTAACAGTTTTGAAGATGAATTACAGACTCAGTGAATCAATGGCCACATGCCTGGTTCCCATACGACAGTACAGAACTAAAATTAAAAGTGAAAAACTCTTTGGTGTACTTAATTTTTTAATTAAACATAATGTTTTTTAATGATTTTTTAATTAAACATAAATTGATTAACATTTTCATTAGGAGAATTGTGTAATGAAGACTTGTGTTATTTAAGAATGTTATTATGAAGTGATTTATGAAACACATTAGGCAAAATTTAGTGCATCTTAAAGAATGGCCTAGTTCACACACTGCACTAAGCCACCATGTAGCTACTTGATTTCGACTTAGTGTGATGTATGAAATGCTTCATACCATCCCCAACATTAAACATTCAAATTATGTGAAAACCCAACACTTTTCTTATCTTGTTCCTGCACTGCTACCTTTCCTCTTTTCCTACACTCACATTTAAATCAACATTCAAAAGATGCCTGCTATATAAACTGCAAAAAAAGATTCATACTTTGGGGAAGGTATAATAGCTGTCATGGCAATATATTTTATAACTGAACTGGAGTGTTTATGTTTTACTTTTTTCAGTTTCATTCTTAGTTAGGACAGCTTAGCTCGAAAAGTAAGGTGAAGAAAATGTTACAGGTACTTATGACCACAATAGGAACCATAAAATTCATTGTGAGACAGTGCGGTCATTAAGCAAGGCACCATGTGACCACACCTGATTTTATGACTTTTTTGCAGTGGTCGTTAAGTGAATCACCATGGTTGTTAAGTGAATCACACAGTTCCCCATTGATTTTGCTTGTCAGAAGCTGGCTGGGAAGGTCGCAAATGGTGATTATATGACCCCAGGATGCTGTAACTGTCGTAAATACATGCTGGTTGTCAAGCGCCCGAGTTTTGATCATGTGACCATGGGGATGCTGCGATGGTCGTAAGTGCAAGGACTGGTCATAAGTCACTTTTTTCAGGTCCGTGGTAACTTCGGTTGCTAAATGAATAGTAGCAAATTGAGGACTACCTCTATTACTAATTGTCTGATTTTGGAATGAGAGATAATTGGCTAATATGAGCTCAATGATGAAATAACGTTTTCAAATAGTTTTTTTTAAGAAAAGGAGGTGGGGGGAAAGGTTTTCAAAATCAGAGGCACGGATTATGCTAGATGCACTGCTCATTCCTTTGATAAACACTGGCTTGAGGCAGATGCAGACCAGCGGAAGGTCCAGCTTCCAAAAATCTTTATAGTATAACTTGTGGGCTGCTTGAGGCCTTTGGAAACCCCCAAAAACATGCTACTGGAATTTGAGTAGCAAATCACTTATTTTTTTAAACTTAATACTACAATGTATACATCTCTGACAAGTTTAGCATAGCTATTTTACTTTTATTAAAAAAAATAAATATCCCCAACTCTTTATCACACACATACAAAAAGGAATAAAAAATCTTTCTCTACTTTCAGTGATATTATTATGTCAATAGCTTTTACCCTGCGTCTCTAGGAGACAAAAAAACAAAACAAAACAAAAAAACACCTTGCTTTAAAACTGACATAAACCCACTTCTGGCGATAGCTACAATAGAAGATATGTTTGACAAGTGACCTTGAGAGAATTCGACTCTGAAATTAACATTAATAAATGACTGAAGTTGCAAGGTAGCAAGGAAAACATAGGCCCAGTCAGCACAACTAAATTTCATATATAAAACACCTATTGTTCCAAGGAACTCACTGGCTTCATGGCAATTTATAATGCCTTGCTTCAAAAATCTAAAATATCCACAAAAAACAAGTTTTCGAAAACATTTATCAGGAAAATAGGCTTCGAGATTCTTCTTTCCAGGAAAGGAATTACCAAAAAAAAAAAAAAAAGAGGGAGGAGAAAGAGTAAGATGGTAACTACAGGTAGTCCTCAACTAACAACCGCAGTTGGGACCAGAATCTTGATCATTGAGCAAAGTGGTCATTAAGCGAGACACCCATGTGACTGCTTTGCTCAATGACCAGAATCTGGGCACTCCTGGTTGTGATCATTAAGCAATCTCCCAGTTTGGAAGCTGAAATGCTCCTGGCAGGCAGCCCTTTCACTCTTAAACATTCTTGAAGCCTGGCAAAGGGTTCCCCCCCTCAATGCATGGAGGGGAAATCCTTCATGGGGCTGAAGGAATGGAGCTCAAATCATCCCCCCTGCTTGCAACCTTCCCTGCTGGCTTCCCCACTGACTTGCTGGGGAAGCCGGCAGAGAAAACTGCAAATGGCAATCATGATCGCAAGGCACTTGGCAAACAGTTGTAAATGCGAGCTGGTTGCTAAGTGCCCGAAATGCAGCCACATAACTGTGGGGGTGGGGTGGGGGGCAGTGTGACATTTTACAACAGCCAGAAGTGCTTTATGAGCCATAAAGCACTCTTTCTGAGGCTGTCATAATTTTGAACTGTTGTTAAATGAACAGTCATTAAATGAGAACTACCTGTACTCAATAGACAGAGGGGTGGAAGTCATAATTCTATATTTTCTTTTCTTTTCCTTATCCTTCTTCTAATTTTTTTATACTTTTATTGTATTTAAAAATTCTAATATAAATAAATAAATAAAAAGAGATCCTTCTTCCCATTGCAAGTGGCAAACATTACTTCTATGACATTCAGAAAAAGGAATATTCTTGTTTTGTTACATGTAACATATGTTGTTCCCTAACTGGCATTTCCATTTATGTAATATCCATTAATGGAGATCAAACTAGCTTATGATTTCCAGCTGTTATCCCTTTATTCTGCTATTATTACCTTGCAACCTTCACAAGTGATACAACGATAGTGATATCCAGTGGCCTTGTCACCACAAACAACACATAACTCGTCCTTGTCTAAGTAACTGGGTATGTACCCTGCAAAGAATAAGAGAGAAGGAGAGTTTATCAATGAAAGAAATAAACCTGAAAAAGAATCCCCCTTATTGAATGCACATCAGTGTAACTTACTACCCTGACATAACAATTTCTTAAACAGAGGCAGGAAATGCATACACATTGAACAGCCTGAATCAAGTTATTATAAAATCCAAAAAGAAAATTATTAGGAAGCTGAAATTGCTAAAAAAAAAAAAAATTCTTGCCAGAATCAACATGTATCTGTAAAATGCACAATCTATCCAATATTAAGAACTTATAAGCTGATTTCAATGCACAGTATTTAAGCACACGCTTAGCTCCTCTAACTTACTACAAATAAAGTAGAAAAACTAACAACTCTCAATGCCTTTATTTTATCTGTTTTTGCAAAAAGATAACATATGGAATTAAAATGGGAGATACCACCCATTGGCCCAATGCCTAACAAAGTAAAGTATGTTTAGCCTGAATATGCCTGATGGGCAGGTGGAGAGAAAAATGAAAGCATGAGATACAAAAAAGCAAATCTGTAAAACAGTTCATGGGCAAAAGATGTTTATAGGCATGATATATTTTTTGTTTCAACTGCAGAATGTGCAAAATGACCTTTAAAGGCCTTCTTGGCATGGGGCGGGCTATCTGAGGACCGCCTCTCCCCGATTTCATCTGCCCGTCCTACCAGGTCCAGCAGAGCGGGCATGGTATGGGTTCCATCACTAGGGAGATACATGTGGCAGGTCCCAGGCAGGGGCCTTTTCTGCTGTGGCGCCTGTGCTGTGGAATCTTCTCCCCCCTGAGGTGAGACTGGCCTCGTCATTGTTGAGCTTCCGGAGGTCCCTTAAGACTTGGTTATACCAGCAGGTCTGGGAACTCCAGGGGACAGGGGAATTAGTGAGGTGGCTACCTTATTTTTAACTTCCTTTTATTCTCTGTTTTATTTTGTTTTATATATTTTTAATGTATTTTATTGTTTTTAGCTTTGTTGTACACCGCCCAGAGTTGCCTGTGGGGGGATGGGGGCCTATTTAATTTGATAACATAATAAATAACATACAAACATACATACATACATACATACATACATACATACATACATACATACATACATACATACATACATACATACATACATACATACATACATACATACATACATACATACATACATACATACATACATACATACATACATACATACATACATACATACATACATACATACATACATACATACATACATACATACATACATACATACATACATACATACATACATACATACATACATACATACATACATACATACATACATACATACATACATACATACATACATACATACATACATACATACATACATACATACATACATACATACATACATACATACATACATACATACATACATACATACATACATACATACATACATACATACAAGCTTAATATGCCACTACTGCTTTCTGTGTAGGAAATCAGGAAATTCATATCATGGAAATCTACAACAATCTTGCAACAGTATGAGAATGGAACAGTTAAGCAAACTTCCGACTTTATGCAGGTTCAACTAGTTCAGTCTCACCTAGGATACCACCTATACATGCTGTAAATGGAAAGCTTGCTCCTAATATTAAAAATGCTTAAAGATTAACACATCAGCAAATCAAAGATAGATGAGCCAGATTTTAGCCACTGGAAAATTAATGCATAATCATGAATTATGCGTAGAAGAATATTATCCAGGAGTAGCTGTAAATTATTTAGTATCTCTGTAAAACTAAACTATTTATTTACTTATAAAATATACGTGTTGTTTCTTAAAGTGGTCTTTTCCATATGAGACATAGCTAACTATTCTAAAACCAATATCTAATAATATGAACAGAGACCAAGTTTGATGTAGTAGTGAACCAGGGGACTGCAATTTTAGGCCTGCCTTAGACATGAAAGCCGGCTGGGTGACTTTGGGCCAGTCACTGTCTCTCAGCCCTACTCACCTCACAGGGTGGTTGTGGTGGGGAAAAAAGGAGGCAGAAGTATGCCTTGACTTGACTAAATATAAAAAAGGATAAAAATATAGTAGTAGAAGTAGTAGTAGTAGTAGAAGTAGTAGTAGTAATAATAATAATAATAATAATACAAAGGCCGGCAAATAGAAATAGAATGACTGTGGCAAAAGAAAGCAAAGGTAGTACCAATAGTAATAGGCGCCTTGGGTGCAATCCCAAAAACATCTGGAGCACCACTTGAAGATCATCCGCATTGACAAAATCACTATCAGTCAATTGCAAAAGGCAGCTTTACTTGGAACAACTTACATCCTGTGACAATACCTTTAACACCATCAAACAACATCTG